GTAGGCCTTCAGCCTGTCCTTCACCTTCCGCTTCTGGCCCTTGACCAGCTCCACTTTCTCAAACAGCTCGTACTTGTCCACATTTGGCCACACCTCAGGGGTGATGGAGCCGCAGAGCTGGCTGATGAGGGCGAGCTGGTGCTGCTCCGTGTTGCCCTGCATGATGGGGCTGCGGGTCCACATCTCCGCCATGATGCACCCAGCGCCCCACAGTTCAATGGGGGGGCCGTAGTCCCGCTCTCCGAGCAACAGCTCTGGGGGCCGGTACCAGAGAGTCACCACACGGTTGGTGTAGCGGTTGGGCTGGCTGTTCTTGGCCAGGCTGAAGGCCCGGGCCAGCCCAAAGTCCGCCAGCTTCAGAACCCCATCGCGGGTGATGAGCACGTTAGCCGCCTTCATGTCCCGGTGCAGGATCTTGTTCCTGTGGATGTAGTAGAGGCCGTTAAGCAACATCTGCATGACCCTCTTGATCTCAGATAGTGTGAACTTGACTAAGACGTTGCTCAGCAGCCCGGCAAGATCATGCTCGCAGAAGTCAAACACCAGGTATATACTGCCTTTGCAGCGATTATAGGGGGAAGCTGAGGCAGGAAGAATGAGGAGGAGAGAGGGGGAGGCAAGAAAAAAAAAAATCAAGAAACCTCATATGCAGCTCGTTTCCCCCAAACTAGCTCCCAACCCCCCCAACCCATGGCCACCCGGATATCCGGGTACCAACTCCTTCATAGGTAAAATATTTTCTGAGTGCCTTCTCTGGGCCGGGTGCTGTGGCAGGCCCTGGGGAAGCACCTGCTCCGATGAAAGGACCAGAGAAAGCAGTCACAGTTGGAATGTCTGGGTTAAGAAGAGGCAGTGTAAATGTGTCCAGTTTCAATTCCACAAACAAAGCCTCAGTTTCTCCATCTGAAAATCGGGACATGATCCAAACAACTTACCTTTGGTTCGACAGATCTCAATCAAGTTGACCACATTCTCGTGTTTTAGAAGCTGGAGGATCTTGATCTCCCGCAATGCTGTAATGGGGAACTGGGTGGGAGAAAAGACAGGAGGAAGTCAAAAGTGGGTGAGCACACTACAGACCCAGGAACTGGCCATGGGGTCCACACGAAGGGTCAAAGGTTGGGAGACAGAGTAAATGCACAGCTCTGAAATTAGTTGTCTCAGATGCCACATATGTAAAATGGGAGTAACTTTGTACCCCTCATAAAGAACTGAATGAAATGAATCAAAATAATTTAATGAATGAATTGCAACAGTGATACTTCACACAAAGGTTCTGTAACCAGTCATCAGATGCTCTGCAGTTTCTTCAACCTTGTAAATTTTAGCCCTATGCCTGCGTTTAGCCTGTTTGACAGTTAACCAATATATAATTAAAGTAGCGAGTCTGTGGAAAGCTGGACCAGAACACACTTGTGTGGCAGGACAGACTGTTGCTTTTCAACTGAACACCAATCACCTTTTTAAAACCACTGCATGCAATTATTATCATTATTTTATATATATATTTTTTGCGTTCAACGAAATTAAACTGTAAGGAAAAAGTGTTTAAAGACTTCCTAACTTCAAAACCCCAGGGGCACTGGGTGCAAGCATAGGCTCCCCCTCCTGGCATCAACCATATTCACCTAAGAACGAAGTATCAAAAGCTCTAAGACATCTGAATTCAAAGACTGAACTGGGAAGTCAAACTTCCTGTAATATGGAAATTTCCAAACACCTAATCTGAATCTATTACGTTGAGAGTCTCAAAAGCAGAAAGGTGGAAACGCAACCTCACGCCCAAGGGAGCTGGCCGACCTGCCCACTCCACCCCACCCCATACTCACCCCCTCTTTCTCGTTCTCCATCAGTACCTTCTTCAGGGCCACCTTTTGGCCAGTCTTGCGGTGCTTTGCCTTAAACACCTCCCTGCAGGCGGAGAGGGGGGACCCAAGAGGGCTCTTAGAGGCCGTTTCCGCAGGGCCCGCCCCTCCCCCACCAGAGGAGAGCCGGAAAGGGAATCCCGGGCGGGGCTGGGCCGGGTCCCCCAGGGCACTCGGCTACCCCACCACGCGGTGACTCCCGTCCCTTCTCGAGTCTCAACCTCCTTCCCTCTGCTCCTTGCGCCTCACCCGGGCGTTTCGCGGAGAGATCCCGCTCCACTCACAGGCTCCTCTCTGCAACCCCTCCCTGCCCCCCCATCAAGGGCCTCAGGCTCCTCCCCGCCGGCAGACTCCTTCAGGCCCCGGCGGGGTGGCGGTGCGGCCTAGCGAGACCAGGGGATAAGTCTGCGTCTAAGTGGCTTCCCGACCAACCGGGCCCGGGTCTGGGCGTCCCGACGTCGGCCCGAAGGGGTGCAGGATCAGGAGGCTCCCGGTCCCTGGGGGTGGGGGTGGGGGGGCCAGCCTTACCCGAAGGTGCCTTGGCCGATTTTAGCGAGCTTCTCATATTTGGTCACCTCATCACAAAAAGGGCACTCCACCGAGTCGTACTGCTTTGCCATGGCTGACTCCAGTGCGCCGCCGCCGCCGCCGCCACCTCCTGCCACCACCGCCGCCGCCGCTGCCGCCGCTCCCGCTCCGGGTCCCGCCGCCGTGCTCCAGGCCCCTCCGCGGCCGCGCCACTTCCGCCTCCACGGCCACTTCCGGCCTCGAGGCGCCGACCCCGCCTCTTCCGCCCACCGCCCGGCGCCAGGCCCCCTGGGACTTGTAGTTCCCGGGAGGCCAGGAGGAGCCGAAGCTGCAGAGGCGCCTCCGCCACCGCCG